TTTCTAAATAGGTAAGTCTCGCATGTTTTAATTGATAAATTATTTAATTTTTTTTCTTTATAAAATGCAATTTAGGTAAGTATGACCCCCAATTCGAAAAGATTTGTTAAATGATGAAATTTGTGTCTAAACTTTTTTGAATTATAAGTAAATATAGTAGTTAAGACCAAATAAAATACAGTTAACAGATTTTTTTATTGTTACAATACAAGCATAAAGGGAGATTTGGGAATGTATATGATATAAGAGAGTTATTGCAAGTTCACTTAAGCATGCGCAGATCACTAACTTTAACAAAAATTGTGCCTGTCCTTAATAGAGAGATATTGCAAATTTCTATAAAGCCAGCCACTAATAGTGACATCGTAATTAGAGTCAAATAAATTCCATGCTAAAATCAGACTTATTGTAAACCTGAAATGTTGACATTAGAATCCTCGTCCTTATACTTATTTCTAACCTTATTTTAATAACTTTAAATTATAGTTCATCTTTTTTGTTGTCTGTAATAGTACATTAATATTAAAGATGCATTAGAAATTATAATTTTAGAAGGTTTAAATGACGATTATATTAAATATTTAATATTAAAAAACTTCTAACAGATACGAATGTCGGCGAGCGCATCCGAAAGCTATAAAGTCGCCACTATCTGCTGCCCTTAAACATCCACAATTAAGGACAGACACAATCCTTAATACAGTCAGTTTTAGAACATAAACATCTGCGCACGCTTAGATGTCAAAATAAGAGCAGCACCCCACATAGCACACGGACGTCTTATGGACGTCTAAAAGACGTCCTTCAGGGACATAAAGGACGTCCGAGGGACGTCCTATTTTGGGACGTCAATGGGACGTCCCATGGACGTCCTAATGTCCCGTTTCCGTCCATCTTAGGGACGTCCCAGGGACATCCCAAAAGGGACGTAAATCAGACGTCCGAGGAACGAAATTTGACCATAATCCATAAAGGGTAATAATAACAAAAATGTTAACAATAAAAAGAGCTTTATTTAACAACTTTTATCCTAAAAAAACTAGCTAGAGTTAAACGTTTTCAGTTTACAAAAAAAAAAAAACAGGAATGAATTAAATTTAACATTTAACACACAGCGCTGGCAAGGTGAAACCTTCGGTCCTACTTAAAGCTTGTGTCGACATAACTGAGTATTATAATTTTGTCAAAATTAGTTTTGTTCCAACTTTCCGCCATTAAGGTATTTTCTTTCCGCCAGCGGCTACCGCCAATACACATCACTTATTGTCATCTCAACACAAAACACTCACTGCACTTTATAACCACTTTACCACCAACATCAAAAAATAACAAATAACACTATATAACCTTCTTTTTTCTTCGTTAATCTAACTCACTTATATAAGTTAATTATTGAGTGCCGAAAATTGTAGCTGTTGTTGTTCATTTAAAAATAAATGATAGGTTAGGTTTTCTGTTCTCATACTCTTGCAAAAACAAAACGTTGAATTTCAAGTTATCGATTCAAAGACCAACGATGCTAGTACATAGAAAGTTCCATAGACGTCCCTTGGACGTCCCATTAACGTCCCGGACTCGGACCGAAAACTAAACGCTTTGTCGAAACGGGACCAAAAAAGGACATCCTTCTAAGGACGTCCTAGTGTTCAGTGTAATCGGAAATCCAGTGGACGTCCTATTTAGGTCTGGGACCAACCGGACCAACAAGGGACCAAATCAGGACGTCCATGGGACGTCCTGTGCTATCTGGGACATAGCAGCACTAATAGTGACTGACCTTAAGTGAACTTGCAATAACTCTCTTATTAAGCACAGGCACAATGGGCACAATCTTTATTAAAGTTAGTGATCTCTGCGCATGCTCAGATGTCAAAATAAGAGCGGCACTAATAGTGACAGATCTTAACGAGACTTGCAATAACTCTCTATTGCCACATCCTTTAATTTTGACTTTCCCGTTTTTATTTTGCTAACAGTACCATCAGTATCTGTATCTGTAGAGTGTGGAAGGAGGGTTACCCCCACGGGGCTTAGGCCTCATTAGGCCCATTGTGCATCATCCTAAGATGATAGGCACCTCCTAGCTCGTGAGCCAGCCTAAAGATTTAATGTAGTTGACAACGTCGCCAAGAGGTGCTTCTCTTATATCGGCCGGTGATAGCCGATACTCGCCGAACACAAATCATCTAATAAATGACAGACAGACAGAGAGACAGACAGACAGACAGACAGACAGACAGATAGACAGACAGACAGAGAGACAGAGAGACAGACAGACAGAGAGACAGACAGACAGACAGACAGACAGACAGACAGACAGACAGACAGACAGACAGACAGACAGACAGACAGACAGACAGACAGACAGACAGACAGACAGACAGACAGACAAACAGACAGACAGACAGACAGACAGACAGACAGACAGACAGACAGACAGACAGACAGACAGACAGACAGACAGACAGACAGACAGACAGACAGACAGACAGAGAGACAGAGAGACAGAGAGACAGAGAGACAGAGAGACAGAGAGACAGAGAGACAGAGAGACAGACAGACAGACAGACAGAGAGACAGACAGACAGACAGACAGACAGACAGAGAGACAGAGAGACAGACAGACAGACAGACAGACAGACAGACAGACAGACAGACAGACAGACATTGTACCCTCCTCTATTTTAACTTCTAAATGAAAAAGGATAATGACAAAACAAAAACGAGGTAAAACTCAAGAGATTATATTTTTGTTATAACGAGATGCACTTTACTTGAGACACGTAAGATAGAGGGAGACTAGCTTTAAATTTTCCAATGGAAAGTAGGGTCATGTGATACCTCATTTGAAAGATATTTTCTATATTTTTCTGTTCATGAAAACAGATTTACGTTTTTATGTTTTTACAGAAATTACATTAAATAAATTCATAAAGTTGGTCAAATTATTTTTTTTTAATTTACCGCTTCAACTTCAAAGGATCATTACCGGAGGTGTAATACCTTATGAATACTGCTTTTTACAATAGTATACAATGGATAATTAACATTTTGGCTAGTACAGAGTAAATGGCAGTATCTTTTATAAATTTAAGTAATTTTTTACTGTTAGAGGGATTTAACACTGCACAAATGGGATTTTTTTTGTAGCTGGTACTTTGTTCGTTTACAGACATGTTTTGGGCCTTTACTAATAAGTTACGTTCTTGATAACTTTCGTATTAACAATTATTGTTTATTACTTAGGAAACGCTTCTTGTATTTACTAAAATAAATAAATTAAGAATATCAAAGGTGATTTAAAAAAAACACTTGACGTATTAAATTTGTCATAACTTCTTGGCAAAAACAGCTTATTAAAAAATTCTCTTCTAACATTATCTAACATTTCTAGAATTATTGCAGCACACGAGGAAAATTAAAACTGTTTGCTTGGACATAAATATATTCAAAATATCTTTCAAATGAGGTATTACATGACTTTACTTTCCATTAGAAAATTTAAAGATAGTAACGTCCTCTGTTTTATGTCTTAAGTATAACAAAAATATCATAATGTTTCTCTAATTTCACATTGTTTTTGTTTTATGTCTCTATCTTCTTTTATTTTGAAAACATACTACAAAATGCTTTCATTTGACATCGCAGGATTGCATTAGAAAAATTCTAACTTCCAATTTAACTTCTTCCCCCCCTCCCCAACTGACTTACAAGACAAAGTACTTTCGTTTTTAGTTAACGCCTAATCTGGGCCCCTTATTACTTCAAATTTCAATTGTAAAACGACTGTGACAGACAGAGAGACATAAGTTTTTCTTATTGACAAATTTGGGTACTAATGCGCAAATTACTTGAAAAATTATTTGTTTGTCTTACACATTTTACCGTTTTTTCATGTTTTGTCTTTTTCAAATTTAAATTTGATATTGTTTTATCACGAGAGAAACGAGACAAGACGAGAGAAAAGCTCTCTCGAGTGAGAGAAGCGCCTTCTCGTCGAGACGAGAGAACAGTTTTCTCTCGTCCTACGAGATGAGACGAGAGAGGCCCCTCTCTCGTCTCGTCTTGTCTCGCGGCATCACTATATTTAATAGAAAAAACAAATTTCGGTATACATTAGTCGGTTTTAATTTATTTATATTGTAAGATATTTTTGTGTGTTTATAAATCTTCTCACTTATAAATAAATTATAATCACTATTGTAATAAATCAATTAGGCCTTCATAATAATTTTAATTGCACAATACAAAATAGCTAAAGAGATTATGGTTAAATATGGAAAATAGTTTTACGATTTATTTTTTAAACACATAAGTAAAGGTTTTTCATATTGTACTTGTGATGTATAAATTTAAAGTTTTCTCATTATTTGACTATTTTTGACATTTTGCGTTTTTGCATTTTGGATGTTTCTTTTCTAAATAAAGAAACTTCTGGCCTCAGGAAGTTTTTTCAATTTCCAGTGATTAGATGTATTGGCCTTTGTAGATTTTGTATAGTTAAGTAAAGGTACAGCATACTCTTTCAGTTTTCACTTCTTTAATGCCTTCATCTGAAAAATGCTTCGAATATATTCTCACATTTTAAATATTAAAATTATGTTTTTGATAGCATTTTTTTCACTCATAAATTTTAAGTCGGCAGCCAGACGAATAGTTTTTTGCTGTTTTATTATTGCTACAACCAGTTACTGCACAGCAAACCATTATTTCTTAACGGAATAAAAGCCAAAACGCAATCACAAATGAATAAAACAACTAAAATCGCGTATTCTCATCAAATTAAAACATAATAAAATAAACTAAGAAAAGTGAACTAAAATGCATGCATTTAGCCATTGACAACATGCAAAAATTTGTCACGCGTTGACGACGCTGAGGAAGAGAGTCAGAGAGAAGATATCATGCGCGTGAGCTTATCTGTTCGTCCAAGTGTCATGACTAAGCTACATGTGTTCTGCTTCACTTCTTACGTGGCGAACATACGCTACATTGTTATCCTATTTTCCTACGATGACTTTTCAATCATAGTCACTGACCTAATCTGACATGTACTAAAATTAGACATTTAAATATTTTATCAAATTATGTCATAGAGAATCAAAATTTTCGAATAATGTAACATTTAATTAATTAAAAAGCTCAATCTTAAAAAATGTTAAAGTAAGTTCGTTATCAAAATGCCTTCCAAAATTTGTAAAATAAATCCCAAAGATCAAAAATCTTTGACGAAGAGGGAACCGTCTGAAAATGTTCTTCCCAAGCATCCGAAAACTATGCATACCAAAATGGCCGATAATATATTAACTCTGAAGAATCAAAACGTATTGACTCCACAACTAAATAACATTGATGACCTTATCCAAAAAGTACAATCCACACCTATACTGATTACTTTGTATCTGGAATTTAAGAAAATCGTATCGAATTACGACGACGAAGTTAGAAAAAAATTAACCCCGCTCATGGTAAACGTTCTAGAATGTATAAACACAGCCTATCAAGTAAATAAAGATTATAATTTTAAATTTCAATTACTTGAAGCAGACAACAAGCAAATCGAAGAAGAGTACATAAAGATTAAGAGGCTGAAAAACATTACAGAACAAAAATTTTCGTCTTATAAAGAAGTAAGTGAAAAGGAACGCAAAGATTTGGCTTGCCGTTTGGAAGGTTTTCAAAATAAAGCTCGCCTGTTCGAGCTACGACATACGAATATCATGGAATATGCGCGCCTGATAGAGGAACAAGAAAGGCAGATTAGGAGAGAGTACGACCAAATTCAAATAAAATATGCAAATTTATTTAGAGCTTACGTAATACATACAGAAAAAATACAATTACCCGAACTCTTAGACAAAGATTTCAAACTCATAAAAGAAGTGTTTGCTAGAAAAGCTGACGGACTACCAATTCCCATGCCCATTGGCGACGTTGGTGAGCGGCAAGACCTGATAAACCGCGAAAAAGATTACGGAGACTTATGGTTCAGTTTGGAAGATAAATCTACTATAATCACGAAAGAATCGCCCAGTTTTTTAATTTCCAAACTGAAAAAACACATTGCCGATCTACAAAATGAATTAAGAATATGCAAAAGAGCTAACAAAAACGATAAAGTTGAAGCCGAAGACGTTAGGCCTATCTTAAAATCAAAAAGGGTTTACACAAAAGCAGATATGGCAAAGCATTTCTTAATAAAGAACCGATTTTACATAGGTTTACAAGAACCCTTACAATGGTCTCAAATTTTGAATCCATCGCAATGGATTGTAAATAATTTTGCGTATCATATCTTGGTTTTACCTGAAAAACTATGGCAACAATAATTAATAGATCTATCTGTATTTATATACAGGGAATTTTAATAGAAACTATCCACCCTAAATAATTTTAAAAGTGAGGCTCTTGTGAAAAAATACAAAAATAAGTCAAAAATCTGCGCATGGATACAAGTTATTATTTTCACTCTCTCTCTCCTCCCCATGACCACCCCCTGTTTTTTCGATTGAAATCCTGTATATAATTGCATTTTTATATTCTTCCCTAATATTCGATTCCAAAATTATATACCTGAGGTGTAAAGTGAATCGCTTAGAAGATAATTTCAATTTAATAACAGAAACGGGGTTGGCCATGAACGTGAAAGTTACAATGAGTATACATGAGCAAAAAGACGTCCCCCTTTATATAATTTTTGACTTTTTTGTATTTTTTAATAAAACTCACCTTTAAAATTATTTAGGGTGGAAAGTTTTCATTGAAATTCTCTGTATAAATTCAACCATTTTTATTAACTGAAATATTGCTTAAGCTTTCGTTTTAAAACGTTTTTATAGTTTTGTACAAGAAATTCGTGGTTGCAACATGCAAATGTGTGTAATTTAGTACGAGGCAGCAATAAAACAGATGATGGATACCTAATTGACCATGAATCTGGAGTTATTGAAGCGAGACCTAGCCTATAGCTCGTACTAACAGTCCAATTTTAGTTATCTGTATAATCTAACTGTGGAATGTATCAATTAATAAACCCAGTCCATCCATTAAATTGTTTGATTGCTAATTAAGTTTTTGGACCAAAAAATCGATTAATCTAAAAAATCGGTTAATCGAAAAAGAAGATTAATCGAAAAATTGATTAATCAAAATTAATCGATTAATGAAATATATTGGAATAATCGAAAATAATGGATTAATCGAAAATAATCGAAAATAATCGAAAATAATCGAAAATAATCGAAAATAATCGAAAATAATCGATCAATTAAAAAAGTAGATTAATCAAAAAATTGATTAATCGAAATTATTCGATTAATCAAATATAATCGAATAATCGAAAATAATGGATTAATAAAAAATAATCGATCAATCGAAAATAATCAATTTTTGGAAAATAATTGAATAATCGATTAATTGAAAATAATCGAATAATCGAAAATAATCGAATAAACTTTTAAGAATTTAGCAACCCTCTTGTGTATAATTCAAAACATTACCGTAATAATTGATTGTTTGTAGTACTTAAAAAGAATAGCATTGCATTTGGAAGCTGAGACAGGTCCTTCAAATAGAACTTCAAATAAGGAATCTATCCTAGAAAACCGTAGCCTAAAACGGTTTAGAAGACAACTTTTACAACAGGTAGAAAAGAATAAAGAAAAAACAAAGACAAATCAAAGTTCTTAAACAAAAACTTAAAAAATATAGAAAAAGAGTTGTTCGCTAAAACTTCTTGTTATTGTACCAAATTAGTATTATTTAAGGGTCAGTAATAAATTTATCTGTATTTATGTATAATTTTTCTTACTAGCTTAATTTAATAATATCCAGATAGCACACTACAGCTTAAAGACGTTCAGTTCATGTCTTACTTTCGTCCAAACGTCCTGGTACGTAGAACGGACGGTTTTAAGACGCCCTGCTCAGGACATGTTTAAAACGTCTTTGTTGGGATGTTTTAAGGACGTTTTAAATATGTCAGTAATGTGGACGTTCAACTCTTTTCACTATATTCAAATATGGCGCCACGACAGCGTTCTTGGCGCTGCCTGCAGCGCATGTAGCATGTAGATATTTATTCGTCATTGTCATTGGCTGATTGGAGTCTCGCGCGCGCATATCGAGTCGTGTTCTTTCTTTAGGTTTGTTCCAACTTGATACATAACCATTCAGTAACGGTACAGCGCATGCGTATTACACTCCAAGCGTTCCAACTTAATTTGTACGATGTGCGGGTTGATACAGAACTCGTTCCAACTAAAAAATGGATGATTCCGGAATCGTTTCTGTACCGTCATATCGATTCACAAATTTTTGTGAAACTGTTAGAACTTGCGCAAAGCGATCGATATATGTTGATAGAGCCGATAGAGGTAAATTTTAGTTAACTTAACCTACAAATTTACAGCGTTTTTATGTTTTGATAGGTAGATAATAACAAAATATACATTTTTATTTAGAAAATACTGTTTATAAATCATATTTAGAAAATGAGTGATATAGAAGGAGACAGTGATTTTTTTGATGATGATGCTAGTGACGATGATTTAGAATTAATGGTAAATTGAGAAAGGATAATAAACAAAATTATTTGAACATAATATATTCATTATTTACCAATATTTTCCATTGTGCTCTAGAATATAGAATGATACAATAAAAAATCAATAACATCCATAATTATAAAACAGAAAACTAGTTTATTTTTATTTTCTTTTCGAAAAGTTTGGTTAGAATTTTCTTCCTCTTCTATTTTATCTATTTATGAACCATCAGCAGTTTCAAAAGCGTTCCAACTTATTTTCGATTCCAAAACCATTCAGAGATGGGCTTGCGCAGTACATCGTTCATAAACTGATGTTGGTATGATACAAGAACGGTACCAAACACCAAGTTGGAATAAACCTTCTAGCTGCCTTCTTCTCGGGACTGCCATTGTATAATATTTTTAGCGCCAGGGGTAGTATTCTCGAGTCACGAATATAGATTCGCATGCGAGATTTATGATTTGTCTCATTTGGTTTTCGTTCAACAAAGTGAGACACATTGTAAAACACGTATGCGAATGTCGGTATTCGTGATTCGAGAATACTACCCCAGGGGTAGAATTCTCGAGTCTCGCATGAAAATTGTCGCACACGGCAAATGTCGCATACCAAATTCGTATGGTTGTTAAAAATACATATTTATGGGTGCGTTTTAACCTTTGACGCCGGGGTTTTAGAATACCGCTATTTTTAGGAAAAGAAGTCAAGTAGCCGATTAAATCCCAAATAACCTGTAGTGTATTATTATTTAGGTTACTATAGTTTTTCCGTTTATATTTTTGAGTGTACTTTATTATGTAATGTCATTCTGATTGTGTCATATTAAAAATATAATCCTACGAATCTAATATTATTTAGTTGGGTAAACATTACAATTTCTGGCGACGAGGATTGTGAAAGCGGACCGATTTTGATTCGGGAAGATGGCTAGCATTATAGGAATCCAACAGGAATTTAATCCGAACGTTAATGACTGGTCAGTACACTGGAAACGATTGTCTCAATTTTTTTTGGCTAATAAGATTACAGAGAATGGTCAGAAACGAGCAATTTTGCTTAATAGTCTTCATCAGGATGCATATAAACTTTTGGAAACTCTTTGTGTACCTGAAGAACCGGAAAAATATGAATTAGAAAATATTGTTAAAAAACTTGATGATTTTTTCATTAGGAAAAATGTAGTTTTTGTTGAGAGGTTTAATTTTTATGATGCAAATAAACGTATGTCTGAAAGTGCACAAGAATGGTTCGCACGTATTCAGAAATTGGCAATGTATTGTGAATTTGGTACTGGATTTGATACAAAATTGTGTGACAAATTTATCACTGGCTATAATCCAGGAAAAGTTAGGAATAAACTGTTTGGTGAAAAAAGTTCCGTAAGTTTTAAAGAGGCTTTAAATATAGCTTTAACTGAAGAAGCAGCCCAGGCGGGTATTTTGGAGTGTGGTAATGCGTTGAAAGAAGAAATGAAAGCTGAAGTGGATATAAATCGAATTTCAAAAGGTACCAGAAGTTCCCTAGAAAGTCAAGGTACGTCATCGGGTTGGGTACCGCAAACGAGTTCTAGGAGAGGAGACAATTCTTATTCAAGTGGTAAAGTAAGGTGTTTTCGTTGTGGTAATCAACATTATGCAAATAAATGTCCATTTCGCGATTATGTTTGTAATAGATGTTCTGTTAAAGGTCATCTGGCTTCGGTCTGTAATAAACAAGATAAAAAAATGCATTATTTGAATGAAACTTTATCAGAATCTAATAGATAACACAAATGCAAAAGAAGAAGATTCTCCGGTTCTCTGTTTATTCCAGAAGTCAGATAAGCCTATAGTTTTAAATGTTGAATTAAATAGTTTTTCGTTAAAAATGGAGTTAGATTCTGGGGCTGCTATGTCCATATTGCCACTTTCTAATTATAAAAGTTTTTTTTCTAAAGTTCCCTTATTAGACACCAACATTACGTTAATCGATTTTTCGGGAGATAAAATTTATCCAAAGGGGGTCGTCAAATTGGATGTTAAGTACATGGGCAAAAATAATATTTTAGAATTTTGTGTTGTTGACACACAATGCCCACCATTGCTAGGAAGAAATTTTATAAGAGCATTTCAGTTAACTCTTCAAGAAATCAATTCCATAGATAAAGGTACTTCGGTTGCTGAGTATTTTGAAAGTAATTTTAAATCGGTGTTTTCTGATAGTCTAGGTCATTTTAATAAATTTGAGTTAAAACTACATACTTATCCAAATAGTATTCCGAAATTTTTCAAACATCGTCCACTGCCTTTTGCTTTAAAGGAAAAAGTCGAACATGAAATTAATAGATTATTAAAGGAAAACATTATTTCTCCCGTTGAGTATAGTCCGTGGGCAACACCGGTGGTCCCGATTTTAAAAAAGGATAACTCTGTAAGATTATGTGGAGATTATAAGGTTACAGTAAATCCAAATTTAGTTATTGATAAATATCCTTTACCAAGAGTTGAAGAGTTACTTGCAGAACTGGGAGGGGGAGAGCAATTTTCAAAAATTGACTTAGCACATGCTTATCAACAAATTCCTTTGCATGTAGATTCGCGTGACTTGACAACGATATCTACTCATAAGGGGTTGTTTAGGTATAACCGTTTGCCTTTTGGTCTCGCAAGTGCTCCATCTCAGTTCCAGCGAATTATGGAACAGTTATTTACGAAGCTGCAGGGAGTAGCTTGTTTCTTGGATGATATTATAATCACTGGGAAAAATAGACAAAAACATATTGAAAATTTGAAAAAAGTGTTTGAAATATTGCAAGATTGTGGGTTGACAA